CCTTAATATATGCTGGTTCATTAACTTATACATAACTTATTTTGACCATAGACACCTCTCTGTCATTTGCGTATTTATATAACTATTACCAGTAAGGCCAAAAAAAATTGTTTTGTTGCCCTCAGCGACCGACCGACAAATATGAAACATCGGGTCGTGTTTTTTATTCCCATATACCTGGGCTATTTATGATACCCTTAGTTTTGATGAGTTTAAAAAAAAATAAAAAAATACGACTGACCCAATTTTTCAATTTTCTGACTTGAGGGCAACATAAGTTTTTTTTTTTTGAAACACACCAAATATGAATGAAAATAGTACATAAATTGTGGAAATATAGCAGTAAGGCCAAAAAGTCACATGGCTGTCAATCGGCCATCCTTGACCAGATTTTGAAACAAATTGTCATGGACATGTATCCTAACATGTATAATCTATGTACCAAGTTTGAATGACAACTGACAAAGCATGTCCAAAATACAACACTTTCAAAAAACAAGATGGCTGCCAGTCGGCCATTTTGAATCGAAACGCCATACCACTGAATGTGCATATGTACTAGGCACATGCAAAGAATGAACGGAATCGGTCCAAGGGATTCTGAGATATGACTACGAACGGACGCACGCATGGACGGACAGAGACCGAATTATAAGTCCCCGTTTTCGGACTTCGTCCGAACGGGGAATAATCAAGTATTTTACAGTAACACAATTACATCTGACCTTACCTTTTTTAACTGAAAGATCCAAGATAAGAAATGTAGAGGAAAGCAGGGGTGAAAAGCATAGGATAGAAATTTAATTGCTAAGCTGAGAAGAGTTTATGAAAAACAGAGACTGCACACTGTAACCTTAAGCAGTAAGCTTCACACTGAATCTCCACAAACTGAGAGTAGGCATTGTTTGTATACCTTACTGAATCTCAAGGAGATACATTAAGATACTTCTAAAATGCATTTTAATGAAAATAAAAAGAACAAAATCAAGTCTGTCTGCATATATGCATATTCCAGGTGCATGTGTATCATCTTATTTTAATACATAACATGTTTATTAGCTCATTTGTATAAATTGTGTTTGGAGAATTGAAAACCATGAGCATAGCAAATGACAACTAAAGATCAATGTTTATTTTAAGCACTGTAAATTGTCATTCATTCAACCAATATCAAGTATATCAAATGCCGTCAACATTTACAGTTCATGAGTATGTATGAGCATCAGCTGTTTTACTGTCTTACCTAAAGTTGTTGTTGGTTGTAGTTGTCTTTGTTGTTTGGGTTTATAAGTTGCTGCTCCCTGTGCCAAAGCATCTGATACATACTCATCAAGAAATGACAGGGTGGAATCAATCTACAAACAAGAACCAACAAAATAGAATCAATCCTTTCTAAAAGATTCGTAATTCAACACTGAACTACAATAAAATAAAATTTAAAATAAAATCATTCACTTTTTGTCCTTCACGCATAACACAAGATCTTGTAAAAGTACTGAAAACTGTCTTAGTTTTTAGTGACAGGATGTCAAAACCTTGTGGCATTTCTGAAAACTGTCTAGTTCTTAGTGACAGGATGTCAAAATTTTGTGGCATCTCTAAATGATGCACACCATTTTGATTTGTTTTCTAAATATGATTATGTGCATATACCAGCTACAATGTTAATTAATACATTCAATCTAAACAAAGAAAATCAGTTGAATGTGGTAAAAATTTCCCAAATAAGGAATACATCTGTAACACATACAAAGTTTTATTTGTCAAAAACGAACGCGTTTGATTTATTTAAATAGTGTGTTTGTTATGGTAGTTCTCTTTTTGGAGTGTGTGGTGGCCCTGAAAAGGGCAGTTTTGTTTGTGTTTTTACTTAAAAACTCATTGGAAGAGCATCGCCAGGCGATGGACGCGGGGCTCTTTGGCAACGACCAAAAACGTATCCATGTCCAGCCATTGGTTGGCCACGTAGAGGTCAAAATACGCGTTCTATTTTTACGTGTTAAGTTTGGCTCTTTCGTTTCACCCCCTCCGGAATGTTCTACTTTCGAAGCCTAATCGCAGGTTTTTCAAAAAACGTTGAAAAAACACAAGAATTAGTGGAAATGTTTCTATTTTGGGCGGATTATTGATAGAGAATAATGTCTTTATTACAAAAATGCTGAAAAATCGTGAGTTTTTGCCTTAGTTATTTTTTTAACGACGAAAAACTGCGAACTCGGCAAATTTGGTTGCACAACTTCCCTCTATCATATACACCCAGCGACACCGATGCCAGCTGACTGTGAACGGGAGCTAGCACTTTTGAGACATCACGTCGTAAACTTGCTACTTTCTTTCCATCCGTCATCACAGCTATGGCATTACGGTCATGTGGATT